AAACAAGAGGTCTCCCACAACACATGCCTTGGTATCTCAAGGGTCTGTACAGAGTCCATGCTGGAATTCTGGTTCTTTTTAGCCCACTCCAACCTTCAATTTTTTCAATTCATGGGCTTCCCTTCTCCTGTTTCTCATTCCCATAGAACACTGCTATTTCAGCAACACGCTTTCTTGGCCCCCATCTCTTGGTCGTCTCCTTCTCTTCCTCTCATTTTCCACCTCTCTCTCCTCTTATGACCAAGTCCACTCTGCTGGCCATGTTCAATCTGCTACCTTCTTTCCCTGCTCTGAACTCTTCAAGATGAGTCTGACTGTGCCCTCCCTCATATCTACAATAAAAACTTTCCCCTCAACATGTTACAGCTAGCCCACTATGCACCTTGAGGAAGGAGAGAGACACGGGTTCTGAGATTTTATCAAATCACTTCCGAAGCGGGTCACTGATCAATCAAGGCTGCAGGACAGGGACTTGGGAGCCTTGTTTCTCCTCACAGCTCCAAGCAGGTATAGAAGTTGCCGTTTAAAAGCACATCAGTCACAAACATTGTTGCCAGGTTACAGTTGCAGTTTTTCACCAATCAGGATTTAGAGATTAGGGGCTTTCTTGAATGTTCTGTCATTGTTAACTAACATACAACGCAAGCCTGTCACTCCAACCAATCAGATTCATTTGTTCCTTGTGCTGTTAGGAATAGCCATGATGTCTCTAGAGAACTAAAGATGCATGATGACTATTTCTATGGTTTAGGGAAGAGGTGGGTCAACCATTGACAAGTACTCAGCTCCCCTAGGGCTTGGGAATCTGAACTTTATTTCACCCCACAGGTAAAATGAAGTCTGAAGTCAAAATGGCAGTACTTAGGCCAAGGTGCTTTTACCTGCTCCCTTCAAACTTTACCTTAGAATGGTTGTGTTCTCAGTTTATACAACTGATGGTAATTCCAGCTCCAAGGGATCCAACACCCTGTCCCTGTCCTGGCCTCCATAGGCAACTGCACTGACATACACATGACCCACACAAACACAGATATGTGCCTAATAACTGATAATATAAATCCCTTTAAGGCAGAGGGTCCCTACTTTACCAGAAGCGTCAGCAGTATCAGAACCCTGAGTAAGACCTTGCCCACAGTCGAGGGCCTGCCCAGCTTTTCCTAACAGCACCCTTCCCTGTATTTCCATATCCTGGCCCACAGCTCTAACAGGAACTCCCTGATCTACTAGAGGCCACAGTGGTACCTGGAACCCCAGAGGCCATGCCAGTTCCCAGAACCTCAGAGGCGTTGCAGGCACCCAAAACCTCAGAGGTCATGCAGGCCATCAAAACCCCAGTACTGGCCCTGAGGGCTTGCCAGTCACCCAAACCACAGGCCACTCAGGTCAGAAGCCCAGAGAGGAAACAGAAATCAAGGGAGCCGGGAAGCCCATCCAACAAAGATAAATTCAGAAATTGGTCCCAACCTATAATTACCCTCCCCGCCCCAAATACAGATACATAAAGACTCACAAAAGAACACAACAATAGTTGGGGTGATATGTCACCCCTGGAGCCCAGCTATCCTGCTATAGCAAGCCCCGAATATTCCAGCAGAATGGAAACACAAGGAAATAACCTTCAAACCCAACACTTGGGAGGCAGAGGCAGGTGGATCGCTGAGTTTAAGTCCAATCTGGTCTACAGAGCAAGTTCCAGGACAGCCAAGGTTACAAAGAGATATCCAGTCTCAAAAAACCATAACCAAACCAAACCAAGAAAACCAACTTTATGAAAATAATAGAGGTACTTAAAGAGAAAATGAATAAATCCCATAAAGAAATCCAGGAAAGCACAAACAATGGGAGGAAATGAATAAATCCCTTAAAGAAAGTGAACAAAAACACAAACAGGTAAAGGAAATTGATCAAAATGTTCAATACCTGAAAATAGAAATAAAAGCAACAAAGAAAACACAAATAGAAGGAGTCCTGTATGTGGAAAATCTAGGTAAGTGAACGGAACTACAGACGCAAGCATCACCAACAGAACACAGGAGAATGGAAGAGAGAATCTCAAGTGTAGAAGATAGAGTAGAAGAAATCGATACATCAGTCAAACCAAATGTTAAATCTAAAAAAATCCCAACACAAAACATCCAGAAAATCTGAGACACTATGAAAAGACCAAGCCTAAGAATAATAGGAAAGGAGGAGAAAGATTACCGTCTCAAAGTCCTCTCCAGAGACTGGCACAGGCGACTGCCAGGGGGTCTGGGCGGCTTGGACTAACATAGCCCATTGTTTCCACTTTACATTTAACCTCTGAGCAGAAGCCCCCACTGTGACACTGGACTTAAGCTGACTAGAATAGGAAGGTTCAGACTAGGCACTTTGAACAGGCTCATTCAGCAAGAGAGACACTCACCGTGTGCAGGAAGTCAAAGGGAGTCATTTATGTGGAGCACATGGCTGGGACCAAGGTCTGCCCACATCCGGCACAGCAGGAGTGGTTGTGATCTGCTCTATAGAGCTTTGGTTTTTTTGTTTGTTTGTTTTCTGTCTGGTGTGTATGTGTGTGTGTGGTTTTTATATTCATAAACAAAAATTAGCTTTAAAATACATGTATTTGTTTACTTTTTATTGCGATGATCAAAGATCAAATTGCTCTTAATACTAAAACATGCTTATCATTTTGTGTTGTTTTGTTTTTTTGTGATAAAAGGTCTCACCATGTAGCTCTGGCTATCCTGAGACTCACTGTGCAGAGTAGGGAAATGATATTACTTGAGTAAGCAGGAAGTACAATCAAGCAACTTTCAAAATGTGCAACAAATGACAGAGACAACCGGCTACCTGGACATTCATCCAAAGTCTCATTTGCAACGTTAGAGCAACCAACTTTGGCTAAGGCCTAGAGTAACTGACAGACCATTTTCAGAGGCAGGAAAATTTTCAAAACCGTCTTACTCTGTCTTGGCAAGATTTGACAGTCTTTTTTCTTGTATCCTGCTTGTCCTCTCTGGACATGGTACATTTTGTCAGTGGTCGATGCATAGGCAGTTCCTTGCCCAAAGACCAGTTTTGCCAAGAAGAAAATAAACACCAAGTGGAGTGTCTTTGGTGCTCAACATTCTCTCGGGAATAGATTGGTGCTGCCAGGAGCAATCGAGTCTCATGTCAACAGAACCCTAAGTTATTTAAATGCCATATTCTACAGCTCTTTGAAATAGTTGTAGATTACCTACAACTCTACAATCTCTATGTATCTAAAGAACCTAATTAGTCTAACTATAAGTATGACAAACATGGATGACTATTGACCTATAAATCTTAATACCTATATAACTTTTTAATTTTTTTGGCTGGAGAGACAGCTGTGGGTGCTGGGAACTGAACTCATATTTTTGGTTGTGAGCCTAGCTTTTAATGGTGGAGCCATCTCTCCAGCCCTATACCTATATAACTTAAAGACTAAGACTTCATGTTAGAATATTAAACAATCTTTAAACAACTGTGCAACAAGTGAGGACAATGATCTCAAAATGTAAACATTGTATAAGTATCTTGATCAGAGGTAGAAATGTATATTGCAGTATAATAAATATATCCTAAAATTGTATCAATATACAAAACGTCTTAAACAGAGATAGAAGCATGCATGTATACAATATGACAAAATAACTTTGCCTTGACATACAAATATTATAGATGAAAATATATATATTTAATATAATTTGTTTGTATCAATATACAAGAATCTATACCAATGTAAATTGCCTATAAATAATAGCTTGCAAGTATTCACTCCATTACTCACTGTTATTATTAGTGTAAGCTCACACTAATCTATTATCCCATCCACATCCAATTTTTTCTTTTTTTTTTCCAAAGAGATCACTGAACTTACATAATTTTTCCCCCAACCTGCAACCCTATAACAATTATAATCAACTCCTAAATGATGTCCCTAACTCTAAGGATAAACTTTGTTGGGAGAGGGGACGCCGTCTTCTAAGATTGCTTCAAGCTGGCATGGGGGCGATGTTCTTTCTATGGAATCCTGTGAAAGTGAAATGATGGTTAAGGTCTAAGATTACTGTCTGGCATAACTGTAAATAGTCTCTTGAGTATTCGGTAGAGTTTTTCTGAGGTTCCTATTTGGAGTTCTGGTCAGAATGTTGTAAAAAAGTACACCATTTCAGCTAACCAAGTTGGAACCATCTTGAGCAGCTGGTACCCAAAATAGATCTTATAGCAGTGCTATCAGCATCATGATGTCATATCAACCAGGTGGAGTTATTGTTGTGGGGCCCCATCTTCTTCCTGGAAAGTTCAAAGATTGCTGCAGGAAAATTCATTGTTCATTGTGGAAAGCTTAAACATTATTTATATAAAGATATACAGACATATATATTTAATGAAAGGTATGATAGAGACAAAAATAGGTATGAAGAAAAGTAAGTTTTTTTTCTAAATTCTTTTTTCTTTCTGTCCCATACCATGGCTCCTGACATGAGACAGAAACTCTGAATTTTTACTTTAACAACATGCTTGGATTTAGAAAAGGACAGAGCCAGTGTCCAGCTCCAAAGCCAGCTTTGATTCTTTTTTTTTTTTTTCCCGACATCAACCTCACTTTAATCACAGGTAGAACTGCACTTTGGAAACCCTGGTTCGTGATCAGTGTGTGCTCACATGGAGGGTCCTGGAGAAGTGCACATCACTGCTCAGAAAAGCAGAAGATGGCTTTGTACAAATATTTTGGAAAATCCTCAAAGTTACGTAAGTAGTACCAACACAATTTTAGTACAGTTTGCACCTCAGGAGGCACTGAAGCAGGGGTTCTCAGGAATCTGGGTACTTCGTAAAGGCCTCCTGGCTCCCAACAGTCAGAGGCCGCATCTTTGGAGAAGAGTTGGAGGATCCCTGTCTGCTCAGTCAAGGGTCCCTGCCCTGCCGCCAGCAGGTTCATCGCTCTCTTTGTCCCAGTCCTTCATACTGGCTCCCACCATGAAATCATCTCACAGAATCTTCTCTCGAAGAACACTGATGAAATCCTTCTTGGAAACAGTTGGCATCAACTTAGCTTGCTTCCTGATGGAGCCTCCTGCTTCCTTAACCTTTTCACCAACATTCTTTTGGTGTTTCTGAACAGCATTGAATAACTGCACCACACCCCTTGTTGCAATCCTCTGAAGGTTCCTCTCTGTCTCTTTGTCTTGGACAACATCTGGCTTCACTCTGCACATCATCTCCCACTCCCGCTTCTTATCGAGCTGCTTCCTTTTCTCCAACCTCTCCTGCTTTAGCTTCTCCTTCTCCTTCTTTTTCTCCTTCTCCAGCTCTTTGTTTTTGGTGAGGATGGTGGGTTTACTTTTAGGAGTCTTTTTGTTAAGGATTTTGGCCATGGCATCTGCCCAGCCAGAATTAGTCCCAGCACTTGGCTCTGCAGCATCTTCATTTTCCTCCTCACAGGACTCCACATTGTCCTCGCTGTCGGCTTCTGCTGCGCTATCATCTGAGGACTGGTCCATTTCTGCATCACAGCTTTCTACCGAACCTTCCCCGTCGGAAGAGTCTTTGAGCTCATCTTCCAGATTAGAGATTTCAGCCTTGGCTACCAGCTTCATCTTTCACTTCTTCTTTAGGGAACGCTTCAGCTTTTTCCCTGTACTCACACGTGAGTCTTGAATCGCCAGCTTTGATTCTTAAGTGAATTCTAGTTAATATTCAGAGATTCTTACCCTCAGATGACCTGTCCTCACAGTGATAATTCTCTTTGCTTGGTGATCCTATCTGGATAATTTCCTTTTCCTCTTTAGACATCTAGATGCCCAGGGTCTCTTGACTTTTTGAAGATGAGTATTTTCCTGCAAAGACAAGAACAGAACCCTGCCCCAACCCTTATGAGGTTTCCTTACCACCTGATTGGTTGTCACCTCTGTGGATGAGCCGTCAGCTTTTGAGCCTGCATCTCTGCTTGCAGAGGAGATGCTCATTCCTCTTGGGTCATAGCATCTGTTGTGTGTGGTTGTACTGCTGCTGCCGCCAAGTCACTGGCCAGCCCTTCCTCTGGGGCCGTACCCACCTGAAGAGAATGCTCAACTTCTCAGTGTCCTCTGCACATGAAGATCTGGTTATGGGCGATTACACAGTTTCACTGAGGTCATTCCACAAATTTAAGTTTTTTGTTTGATTGCAGAAAAAACAAACAAACCAACAAGCCAGCAAACAAGCCCCGAATAAGTTGAGCTGATTCTAAAAAAAATTGTTATTATTATGATTTCTTTGAAAGTTTCACGTTATGTACATACGTTTTGGTCATATTCAGACCTCTGCCCCAAGTCTTCCCAGATCCACTCACCCTTCTCTACCTTAAAAACTCTGCGTTCATTAAGAAAAAAAATTTTAAGATCAATTTGTGCTGTCTGGTATTCCTGGATGTGTAGTCGTCCACTGAAGTGTGATTAACTTATCAGGGGTTACAGTCTTAGAGAACACTGTCTCAGCCCTTCCCAGCAGCTAACAGTTGCCATTCACTGTACAACTGTGTGCTCAACTCTCCTCTACATAGTTTATTATTATTGTTATTATTATAATTTGACTGTATATGGGTATATGTGGACACGAAGGCCACAGTGTATGTGTGGGAGTCATGTGGCATCTCTCCTTCCACTTTTGCATGGATTCTGGGAATAAACTCAAGTCACCAGGTTTGCACAGCAACTACCTTGTCTTACTAGGTCATCTTGTATTTTCTTTAACAGATTTTTTTTTGTATACCAATATCTCACATAATCATGTAACAAAATGGATCCCTAAGCCTTAGATTTTGAAATGTATCCTTAGGTGTCTAGCTCAATGATAGAGGGCTTGCTTAGCATACACAATACCCTGGTTCAAACCCCAGAACCAATGAAACAAAACAAAACCTCATTGATGACTATAGCGGTGGAGCAATGGACGGGCCCTCAGGATTGGCTACATTTATGAATCCACCTGAGCCCCCTGCTTATTCATTGTGTAAAAGCTGGCTTGTCACAGAGCAAAGTGCTTCACAATAGCCTCAGCTCATCATACATGTCCACTTGTGAAGGCCCCCAACAACTCTCCACAAGGGACCACTTGCTGGTGAATTCTGCACATGGTCTTGGCAAGTACAACTATGAGGGTGTGGCTCTGGATTTGTGCCCATCATGTAAAAGGGCTTGTCCCTAGCAAGTTTTCTTTTTTCTTTTAGGAAATATTTGGTAGCTATTTTCCTCATTGTCTCACCGTCTGTGTGGGCATATGATCAGGTGGTTCCTATGTCCCTTACATGTCAGTTGTCTGTGGCTATAGAAGAATAATGCATGTATGTGACCACCATCTTGCTCCACAGAGTTGGCAATCTTGGTGCTGCATGCTCTCTTAGAATTGCTTCCTGAAATAGAAAACACTATCCTGAGTGAGGTAAGCCAGACCCAAAAAGAGGAACATGGGATGTACTCACTCATATTTGGTTTCTAGCCATAAATAAAGGACATTGAGCCTATAATTAGTGATCCTAGAGAAGCTAAATAAGAAGGAGAACCTAAAGAAAAACATATAGGCATCCTCTGGAATATTAACCTTCATCAGGCGATGAAAGGAGACAGAGACAGAGACCCACATTGGAGCACCGGACTGAAATCTCAAGGTCCAAATCAGGAGCAGAAGGAGAGAGAGCACGAGCAAGGAACTCAGGACCTCGAGGGGTACACCCACACACTGAGACAATGGGGATGTTCTATCGGGAACTCACCAAGGCCAGCTGGCCTGGGTCTGAAAAAAGCCCAGGAGAAAACCGGTCTCGCCGAACATAGCGGACAAGGAGGACTACTGAGGAACAATGGCAATGGGTTTTTTAATCCTACTGCACGTATTGGCTTTGTGGGAGCCTAGGCAGTTTGGATGCTCACCTTACTAGACCTGGATGGAGGTGGGTGGTCCTTGGACTTCCCACAGGACAAGGAACCCTGATTACTCTTTGGGCTGACGAGGGAGGGGGACTTGATTGGGGTAAGGGGAGGGAAATGGGAGGCGGCGGTGGGGAAGAGACAGAAATCTTTAATAAATAAACAAACAAATAAATAAACAAATAAACAAACAAACAAACAAATAAATAAAAAAGAATTGCTTCCTGAGCACACAGCCAAGGGATGTGACCAGAATGTGCTGTGGTTCTTAGCTCTCTCTACTGGAACGACAAAGTGTAACACATTACCGATTGTCTATCCCATGAAGACACCTGTAATTACAGCAATGTGTGTGAAGTTGGTACTCAAGATGCAAAATTTCTTGACATGAAAGTGAAATCAAAGAGTTTATTTTTGTCACTGCTACATCGTACCAACTAAAAGACTAGAAATTGGCTCTTCCTAAATGTTTACATATGCTGTAAAATATTGGATATATTTAATGTTATTACAATGTCTGTACAAAGTGAAATATGTTTAGGTTAAATTTTGTCAGTGACATGATTTTTGGAAATTATAATGTGGATACTTGTAAAAAAATTGTTCCTCTTGTGATGCCAGGAATCAAACCCAGGACTGTAAGCTTGTTTGACAAGTGCTTCCCATAGTCTCACATCTGAAAACCTCTAGATTGTATAGCCAGCACTCTACAAAGTTACTGTTTGGAAGTCTGGCTTCCTTGGATTTTTACACTATGAAGAGTTATCTGAACATGTTTGCATTGCTTTATTTATGTGTGTCTTGCTTGAGTGTATATATGTGTGTGCATTGTGTGTGCTTTGGGCCTGTGGGGTTCAGGAAAGAGCATTGGATCCCCTGGTACTGGAGTTACAGATGGTTGTGAGCTATCAGGTTGTGAGGACCTGAGAATCAAACCCAGGTCCTCTGCAAGAGCAACAAGTACTCTTAACCACTGAGCCATCTCTCTAGGCCCCAGTGTTGAATTTGTATCCATCCCATGGCTCCACACACAGCAAGCCCTCAAAAATGACTGCAGAGTGAATAAAAGTGAGTATCACATGTTATTTTAGGTCAAGGGAATTGATGTCCAACCCCAGGTATAATATGAGATAAAAAAATTTAAAGTCTACTGAGCCCACCTTTCTTTCCCTCTGCATGTGCATGAGAAAGCACACCCCCACCAAGGCATACCCCTCCACATATGTCAACTAACTTCCTGACATATGGTAGTGGTGAGCGCCTGGAGAAACACCCAGGCATTCATTAGTATGAGCGGGGTGGGGTGGGGTGGGTGGGCAATGTGATGTCTTCCTAAATCATGACGAGCACAGTCTATGACCAGGCTATCCCACTTCCAGGATTTAGTTAATAGACACATTTACTTGAACATCTGCAGAATGATACTGGCAAGCTGCCATCATGACGATGTTGATGCCTTCTATGCCCACCAGCAGGTGAAACACAGCTCATTATACACAAAATGGAAGAAGGAGTAGAGCAGTGTGTGTCTTAGTGAGAAAGAGGTGAAAGTCAATAAAGAAATTTTTATAAGAGCACTTGAGGGAGGGTGGGGCGGACAGGTGGCTAGGGAAGGCAGAGCGAGGAAGATGTCATAGGAGATAGACTTTTAAATTGATTATGGATGGGAAGTTAAAACAAAAATCACCCTTGTTAAGAATCTATCATGTTTACATTGACAAGATAAATCAAATGAATGCCCAGCTGATGTGAGATGTCCTTCTGTATATGTGTTACTTTTATTCATTAATGAATAAAGTTGCTTTGGTCTATGGGAGGTCAGAATATAGCCAGGCTGGAAGAGATATGACGAGAGAGTAGGCAGAGTCAAGGAGATGCCATGTAGCCGCAGAAGGAGACAGATGCCCTGGAACCTTACCGGTAGGTCACAGCCTCATGGTGATACACAGATTAAAGAAATGAGCTAAGATGTAAGAGTTAGTTAATAAGAAGCTTCTTATTAATAGGCTAAATAGTGTTGCAATTAATACAGTTTCTGTGTGATTATTCAGGTCTTGGCGACTGGGAACAAAGAGCAGTCTCCACTTATACCCAACTAAGAAGAATGCAGCCTGAAAATCAGATCCAGGTAACATTTGCATTGGCCCCTGTAGACTCAGAGAGATGCAGGTGATCTCTGTCTAACCTGTGATGGATGGCCGACTTCTCTGAACTTCCGGACTCAACAGAACTATAGTCTTAGGGCTTTGGTTAGAAGTACCAAGTACAAGGGCTCTTGTTGTTCATGGAATCTGCCTCCGGAGTAAGTGCGATTGGTGGAGGCTGGGCAGCTGCTCATAGTTACCCAGCATCTTGGACCATTCACAGAATTTCTGTCTGAACTCACTCATCCAGCCCAAGAGCAGGGATAATGAGAGAGGGTGAATGTCCTTTGTCGAACTTGGGGCCAGATATGTTTCAGGTGTTGGCATTTTCACATCCTGGGTTACTTACATGTATGTAATAGGATACCTTGGAGACGAGAAGCTCCATTTGTTTCTGCTACATCTCATACCCACAATCCCATTAAAATCTTTTGTAATTTTTTTGCACGAAGCAAGATTTCATGAAATTTCCCACTTGTCGCATCCTATGAAAATGGCTTAAAATATTTCAGATTTGGAATTTTCAGATTAGGGCTGTTCAGTTTCCAGAAGCCTTACAAGGTCATGAGATGAACAAGAGATGATATGGACCCCCAAGGCCAGAAC